GGGGGGGGCGCGGGGGGCGGGCACTGCTCCTCCAGGGCTCCATGTGATGAAGATGGGGGCAGGGCCCAGGTCCTGAGGGGATCCTCGGCCAGCCTCGAAGCCTCCAGAAGCCTGGGGCCACTCAGTAAAGCCAAGTGCTGTTCCGAGAGGCAGAGGAGAAAGGAGACCCTACCTCCTCCTTGGGCAGAATGGCACAGGGAGACGTCTCTATCCTTCCGAAACAGACACCTTGCCCAGTCCCTGGCCTCCAGATGCTGATCTCCAAGCACTTAGAGCCCGGAAGAGCGACAGAGCAGAAGGAACATGGCGTCCTGCCTCCCCCACCACCCTCCTTCCCCGGCCTCGCCACGTGCGCGCACGCACGCTCACGCTCACTCTCGCTCACCCACTGGTCCTATCATGTGCCCGCCCTGTTCTGCCCACACCAGTACCAGGCGGACCCACCCCACGGATACTCCCGCCCGGTCCGCCGTGACATCTAACTTCCGCCTCGCGCTGCAGCCTCAGCCTTCGCGAACACGAAGCGCGGAGACGGACGATTCGGGTCTGAAGTTCTGGAAAGCCTGCCCTGAGGCTGCCTCTCCACCAGGTGAACACAACGGTCACAAGACTAGGAGGCTGCCACAGCTGGAGGTGACAGTCGCATGGACTAGGGCCACCGCGGAGGGCAACTAGAGAGGGGAGGCTCATCCCCTGCCTGAGTCTCGATACCCCTCTCCCGGAGTGACGTCATCCCAAGAACTGGCGAGAGACACGCGGCCAAGGGGAAATAAATATAATTGCCATGACGGAACCTGCCCAGAGAAGCAGGGACATCCTGTGCTCCCAGACCCCACTTGTCCCCTCCGGCATGCTGAGGGTGAGTTAGATGCTGAGATCACCCCGGGGGGCTGCTGGGAACTGTAGGGGTGACTGATGGCAGGCCCGGGATTCCGGCTGCCCGGCCCCTGGGTGGCCCCCTAGCCCAGGACGTCCAAGTAGACAGGAGGCGCCTGGGCCAGGGCCTGCAGCCGGGCGTGCACCTCCTTGATGCTGTGGCGTTGCTGTGGCTCCCGCTGCCAGCAGCCCCGCATGATGGCGTAGACCTCCGGTGGGCAGGCCCGGGGCCGCTCCAGCTCGCGCCCCTGCGTGATGCACTCGATCGCCTGGGGACACC